AAATCACTGTGTCATACACCTGAAACTAATAGAACATTGTATGTCATTATACTTCAATAATAAATAAAAATACATTTAAATTAAAAAGACTGCTGTGTTGGCATAACATGATTAAGGTAAATGCTTCTAAATAGATGGATAAAAATACTTATTTTATTACCCCCACTCTATAGATCTCAAAACTATTCCTAAATTTAGCCAGTTGTTTTAGTTCTTATACTAGAAGTAGGTCGTGCTTCCTTTATGTGGAAGGAGAATATCTGTAATTTAGAAAAATCTTCATAAATTTCTTTTAAGCACATGTTGATACATTATTTTGTCTTTTGCGCTTTACTTTTTATTTTTCTTATTTTATAGTTGAGTACTTTCCAGTTCAAACACGTAACACTACCTAATACATTCAATTCTGCGACTAATACACAGTCTCCAAACTGTATGAAGCAGTTTAGAATCTAACATATTGTCCTAAATGGAATGAGGTGGAATAGAATAAAAATGACCAGCCTTTTAACCCAGATACAATATAAAATGTTTCTTTTCTTTTAATAATGGAAATGCTTATGTATCGCTTACTAGGGGGGGAAGGTTTTAAGCTCTGAACATTTTAAATCATCCAATTCCACAGCATGTAGCAGTTGTATTCCTTATTGCTGACAGCTTCATAAAAACTATTAAGTAGTTTCAAGCACAGAAAAAGAGTAAAGGTATAGATACTGTTTTTAAGTTTCTAAAATGCCCTCTCATGTGGATAAATGGATTAAGAGCAGAGAAAAAAATTAACTGCAATCTGTCCTTCAAATAATCAAAACAGGGGGCGCTTGGGTGGCGCAGCCAGTTGAGCATCTGCCTTCTGCTCAGGTCATGATCCCAGCATCCTGGGATCGAGTCCAGCATTGGGCTCCCTGCTCGCGGGGGCGTCTGCTTCTCCCTCTGCCTGCCGCTCCCCGTTTGTGCTCTCTCACACTCTGTCAAATAAGTAAATGAAATCTTAACACACACACACACACACACACACACAAATAATCAAAACATGAACTCCCAAAAATGAGAAGAAATATTAGAAGTTGATCAAAAAACTTGAACATCAGCTTCGCCCTTTTAGGGAAATGCATTAAAAACCCTTCAGTTAATTTATCACTACAGTTTCCTTCCATGTAAAGCCAGGGATGGTGGGAGGATTGTTGGTCATGACTTCTAAATATTTGTAAAAACTTGTATTGTACTCTTGCTATTATACTATTTATTAAACATTCTAATTTTATTATGTCACCCTGTACTTAACATGTGCAACGGTAAAACCTCGGCCAGGTCCTTGACTTTTTTTTTTTCTAATTGTAGAAAAAACACAAGAGAAGTTTACCCTTTTCATTTTTAAGTGTCCATTACGGTATTGAATGGTGTGCTCGTGAATGTTTAACAGGCGGCTTCTGGGGGAGCGGGGAAGACCGGAATTTGGTAAGACCCAGATTTCCACGGTGGGCTGCAGTGAATACTCCCACGGGGCCAGCATCAAACCCCGACAGAGGCGCAGACGCGCTCGTGGGCTGCAAGGCCCGAGCCAGACTGATTCCAGCGCCCCTGCTGAGGCCCCAAGAGTGCACACCCCGCGTGCTTTCAAACTCCTCTGGAGCTACTCCCTACGTTACTCCGTGACCTTTTCACAGTTCCTTATTCTCTCCCAGCTCTTTCATTTCTCAGGGTTTTCACCACATGCTGCTTTGCTTTCTCTGCCTAGAAAACTGCATCCTCCGTCCCGGGGGGCTCCTCCTGGTGCTTTAGATCTCAGGCTTCCGCTATACACATGCATTACAAGAGACCTCAGGTCATGACACAAAGTGTAGGGGTTTCTTTGTCTTTAGTTCTCAGGGGTTTTGTTTTTGTTTTTGTTTGGTTGGTTTTTTGTTTTTTCCATTGTTTTTTTTAAATGTAGCTCTTTTTTTTTTTTTTAAGATTTTATTTATTCATCTGAGAGAGAGGGAGGACGAACTGGGGAGAGGGGCAGAGGAAAAGCGGGAAGCAGAGTCCCCCTGAGCGGGGACCCGGATATGGGGCTGGGTCCCAGGACCCGGGGATTACAACTAGAGCAGAAGGCAGATGCTTAACCGACTGAGTCACCCAGGCGCCCCTAAATGTAGTTCTTTAAAAAAAAAAAAATCTTTCCAAACCACTGCCCTCCACAATACTAGGATGGGCATTGACATACAGATTATTTTATAGGTCTCGGATTGCCAGTCCTGACCCCATCACTGCCATTACTACATCGTCTTAGCTGGGCTAATTTCTCACATCCTTTTACATTCTAGTCCTGTTCTGGGAGCCTGTGAACCCGTGAACCTGCCTTCCAGCAGAATTTGCATATCTGCTCTAATCCAGTGCCTGGTGATTTTATAGTTTCACTGGAAGAGGACTGCTTTATTCTTATGGGCCACAAGACCTCCACTCCCCATACTGGCTACACAAGGGATATTTCATTTATTTCCGATGTTCCTATTGTAAAGTGATTTTGTGTCATGAGACTTCTAATGGTCCAACAACCTTCTTAAAAAAGAAGAGTGTAGGGTGCCTAGATGGCACTCAGTTGCTTAAGTATTAGACTCATGATCTCTGCTCAGGTCTCCATCTCAGAATTGTGCACTCAAGCGCCCTGTCAGGCTCCACTCTTGGTGTGGAGCCTACTTAAAAAAAAAAAAAAAAGGAAGAAGAGTGTACCTCATTTCTTACCTATATCGTTTAAATACAATGGAAATGTGTCCGCCTTCGGCTCAGGTCATGATCCCAGGGTCCTGCGATGGAGCCCCACATCAGGCTCCCTGCTCAGTGGGGAGTCTGCTTCTCCCTCTGCCCCTCCTTCCCTTGTGCTCGCGCCTCTCTCGAAAAAAAAATTAAACTAAAAAATCTTTAAAGAATTAAAAAAATAGGGCGCCTGGGTGGCTCAGTTGGTTAAGTGACTGCCTTCTGCTCAGGTCATGATTCTGGAGTCCCTGGATCGAGTCCCGCATCGGGCTCCCTGCTCGACAGGGAGTCTGCTCCTCCCTCTGACCCTCCTCCCTCTCATGTGCTCTTTCTCTCATTCTCTCTCTCTCAAATAAATAAATAAAATCTTTAAAAATAAAAAATAAAAAAAGAATTAAAAAAATAAATACAATGGAAATATGAGTCATTTTAATCATCTTATAAACATTGTCTTCAAAGTAATGGGGTTTATTTATACCTGTATATATTCCCATTGACATCATTTTCAGGAATGTACTATGAAATACTCCATGGGGCTATTAAGTTTTCTCCTCTCTCTCCTTCCCTTCCTTCCTCCCTCCCTCATCTTGCCTTTTTTTTTTTTTTGCCTTTTTTTTTTTCTTAAAAAAGCTTTCTTTTTTATTTCCTTTTGTTAATGAATTGGTGCCTGAGTAAGATTGAGTCAGTGTTTGTATCTTCTTTGCTCTGTTACTTTGTATCCGGTATTTATTGAATATATGTTTTCTCTATCTAATCATGCATTATCCTCTGTTTAATAACTATAGAACAATTAAAACATTTATTGAGAATCTAAAATTAAATACCTATCACCTAAACCTTCAAAGTTTACAACATTTGTAATTCCTTAAACACCATCTGTGAGTGCTTTCGTTAGCAAGTGGTTCATGTAATATAGCAGAAATATCACTAACATTAAAAATTGTGCTCTAAAATGTGTTTAGACATTCTACACTGCTGATGACTTCTCTCTCATGACTTTCCTCACTTATCTGCGATACTGCACTCAGAGTCATATATCTTCTGCCTCTTTTACTCCCAGTTCTTTCCATTTATTTCTGGTATGATCATCTTGATTTACTATTATTGGTGTGATTGGATCATTATCATTACTGGTTACTAGTACAGTTCCAGGAACATACTGTCTGCTCTGTAAACTGGTACCTCCACTTTTATTTTCTTCTTTCTAGTGTTTTATAAATTTTAAAAAGCACTTTTCCCCCAAAAGGCCTTCACCTAGAGCTAGAACAAAACTATGACCGTAAGGACCTAGAACAAATAATGAAAACACTTATCTCATTCCTATTACCTTTGGTGACTAAAGGATAAGACACTATGTCCATTAGAGCAAACTCAAGGAGGGCAAAAATCTTTAGGGTGGTATATTTACTGCTGGTATCCTCGGAGTGTAGGTCAGCACCTTACACGTGAATACTTAATAGAGGATGGTTTTATCAATTAATCTGTGGACAGGCAAGGAAAACAGCCATGTCTTTACTCATGTGGTGCTGAATGCTCACAAATACATATGTATTTCTTTTTCTTTTTAAGACTTTATTTTTAAGTAATCTCTCTACCCGATGAGTGGCTTGAACTCACAACCCCAAGACCAAGAGTCACCTGCTCTGCTGACTAAGCCAGCCAGGTGCCCCAAATGTGTATGGTTTTTTTTTTTTTTTAAAGATTTTATTTATTTATTTGACAGAGAAAGACACAGCGAGAGAGGGAACACAAACGGGGAGTGGGAGAGGGAGAAGCAGACTCCCTGCCGAGCAGGGAGCCCGATGCGGGACTCGATCCAGGGACTCCAGGATCATGACCTGAGCCGAAGGCAGTCGCTTAACCAACTGAGCCACCCAGGCGCCCTGTATGTATTTTAATTAATTGTAGAATTAACAGTCCAGTTTCCATCTAGTTTGATTAAAGTGTATGCATTGATCAAAATAAATTATATGGCCAAATAGCCCACATCTCCATGTGGGTTCCTAAGTCACAGGTTCATTGTGTACCTGTTGTTTCAATAAAGGTGAAATAAAATTTAGCATGTGATTGTTCTAGCAAATATTCATGCAGACAGGTGAATTGAGTGTTACTGATTTGTTACTGATACTGATTTGTTTTGGTTTTATAGAATCAGGACGAAGTGGTTTCGGCAGAACTATTATTATATGATTTTCTTTGATCTCATAAATAGTCTTGCATTTCATTTTTAAATACAAGGGTTTTTTAACTTACTCAATAGGTAGACATATAATTCCTTAAATTCCTATTTTGAAGCTTAGGGTTCAGTCCCTTCCTCGTCACATACACACCTGCCACTCTATACTCCATCTGTTTTACTTTATTTAGAGCAATATCTGAAATTCTTATTTATTTTTTTATTTGTTCATAGCCTGTCCCTCCTAAATAGAATATACATACCGTGAAAGCAGACAATCTTATCTGACACTGCTGTATCCCCAGCACTTAGCACAGTGCCAGGCACAGAAAAATTGCCCCTGCAAATTGTGTTGAACAGTAGGAAGAAAGGAAGGAAAGAAGGAACATGGCATTTGCTTTCTGAGTTTTTTTCTTCATATTGCATTTTGTTTGGAAAAATGCTTAGTCCATTTGGGCTTATATAACAAAATACCATCCACACTGGCTTATAAATACCAGAAATTTATTTCTCCGTTCTGGCGGCTAGGAAGTCCAAGATCAAGGCACCAGGAAATTCAAAGTCTGGTGGAGTCCCACTTCTTGGTTCATGGGTAGCTGTGTGTTGTTGCTGTGTCCTCATCTGCAGAAGGGGTTAGGGAGCTCTCTGGTGTCTCTTTTATAAGGGCACTAACCATATACATGAGAGTTTGACCCTCATGACCTAGTCACCTCCCCAAAGCCCCACCTCTAAATACCAAAACACTGGGAATTAGGTTTCAACATAGGAATTTTGGGGAAAACAAAGTCTGTGGCAGAAAAAAATTTATTAACTAATTGGATACCCTTTCTCCCGTGTTACCCAGAAAAACAAGGTCATTATTCATCCCTTTATCTTTACATCTTCTTTCTGTCCTGATCTCAAAAGAAGAGGTGTTTCTCCCTTCCAAACTAGCACCATTATACTTGCACTCTTTACTTTATATTGAGGTCCATGGGTAGGCATGTGAGGGTCCAGAGGAATGCAGAGTACAAAATGCAGAGCGCCAGAGGCAAGATACTGACAAATACCCACATGTGAGGACAGGACAAAGGAAGGGAAAAACCGAAAGGAGAACCTTCTTCATTCTCAGTTACCCCTTGCCATCTGGTTTCTGCCTAAACCACCAAATTAAGACTCTCTTCCCCAAAAGTGCTTACTACACCTCCTATGATTTAATTTCTAAGCTTTCATCTCTCACTACTTCCGTCTAAACCGTCTGGCCCCTTGGATAGTCATTCCTCAATGTTCAATCATGAGCCTCGCGTTTTGTTTTGTTTTTCTCCGTTCTTCTTTGAGGAAAAAAGTATCACAGAGAAATAAATGTATCTTCCCTTGCCCTCCTGCCACCCCATCTCCATGTCTTTCACAAGGAGGAGTTTCCTCAAATAGTCCTGCCTCTTTCCACCTCCTGATTGGTACGTTTTATTTAAGGGACTGTGCTTGCATCGCTTTCCTCCTCCTTTCCACTTTTTTTTTTTTTCCTACAGAAGAACCAACCTATTCCTGGAACAGTTCCCTGTACCTCTTCTAAATCACAATCATCACCTTGTGGCTGAACGGGTAAGTCAGACACAGTGGGGAGAGAGGTAAGGGCTGAAGGCTCACTTGGCCTTCACGTTGAACGACTTCCTCCAATATAGCATTTAATAATAAGAAAGATGATATTTGAAATCTCTACCCACCACTTTTGTTTTCCTAACCTATTTGTTCAGACCCTGCCTGGGAAGAAAGAAGCTATTCATCTCCACAACATTAAAGATTTATGTATGTGTGTATTTTATTTATTTTAAGGAAGCTCTCTGCCCAACATGGGGCTTGAACTCCTGACTCTGAGATCAAGAGTCACATACTCTACCAACTGAGCCAGCCAGGCACCCCAGATTTTTTTATTTTTTAAGGAGATCTGTATACTCATATTGTGATATAGTGTGAAATGCCCTTTTTTATCCTTTCTCCTCCTGAGATACCTTTCTGGTCTCTGTTCAAATGTATAGAACTTGTTTCTCCCAAATCAGTGAAAACTAAGTTCAATTTGATCATGGGGGCCTGGCTGGCTCAGTCAGTAGAGCGTGCAGCTCATGATCTCAGGGTCATGAGTTTGAGCCCCACATTGGGCGTGGAGCCTACTTTGAAAAAAAATAATAAAATAGGGGCACCTGGGTGGCTCAGCTAGTTAAGCATCTGCCTTCAGCTCAGGTTGTGGTCCTGGGGTCCTGGAATTGAGCCCCACATCAGGCTCCCTGCTCAGCGGGGAGTCTGCTTCTTCCTCACCCTCTGCCCCTCCCTGCACTTGTGCTCTCTTTCAAATAAATAAATAAAATCTTTAAATAATAATAATGATGATGATGAAATAAAAAGTAACTAAATAACATTTAAAAAACAATAAATTTATTTGAAAAGACTTCATCGCTTTGGGAAAAAGGTGTTGGTAAAATCTAAGTTAGTACAACTATATATTTTTTAAACATTCTAAAGGATGAGAAGTGTTTTTCTGAGAAAATGGACGAAAGGAATGAATCAATTGTTATCACATATGACTTTCAAATTCTCTCTGTAGCCTGTATAAATACTCGGAGTCTTCTACTTTCAATCCCACTTTACCAATTGTCCACAGAATATTTCCTCCTAAATTTATTATTTTTTCATCATCCTACCTATTTTTTAATTCTTTGAAACTTTTTGAATTTACAGAGAAGTTGCAAGAATAATGCAAATAATTCTCATTTATCCCTTACCCAGATTCTCCAAATGTTAACATTTCATCACATTTGCTTTATCCTTCCCCCACCTCTTTTTGTTGGTGGGGGTGTTGCTGTTCTGAACCTTCGAGAATACTTTTGAAGATATGATTTCCTTTCCCTGCCAAATGTTTCAATGAACATCTCCTAAAAACAAGAACATTCTTTCACAGAAGCACAAAATGATCAAAATCAGGAAATTAACATTGATACAATACAATTATCTAATCTACAGACCTTATTCAGATCTCAGCAATTGTCCCAATCATGGCCTTTATGCCAAGAAAATCTCCGATTATTCATTGTGTTCACTTGTCCTATCTCTTAAATCTCCTTTAATCTAGAATAGTTCCTCAGTCATTCTTGGTCTTTTATGACATTGATGTTTTTTTTCGAAGAGTACATGTCAGTTATGTTATAGACTGTCCTTCAGTTAAATCCTACTTTGATTTTATCCCTTGGACATTTTATGAACATTTTCTATGCCCATATTCCAGCTTCCAATTCCAGCACCACTTCTTCCTAGATGTGTGACCACTTAACCTCCCTGAGCCTTAGTTCCTCATCTTTAAGCTGGCATAATAAATAAATAAATAAATAAATAAATAAATAAATAAATAAATAAATAAATAAATGAAATAAAGTAAAAACTGGGATAATTATATGTACCTAATGAGTTATAGAGAGGATTAAAGGAAGTGATATATTTAAGAGGAATTCCTTCGAAACTCATCAAGTTATATATATTAGGTATATACAGCTTTTTGTACACCAGTCATACTTTGATAAAGTGTTTGTTTTTGTTTTTAAGGAATTTACCCAAGGCGTGTCGCAAAGTCATTTGCTTTTCGTGTGATTTGATTTCTCAACTCTTTATCACCTGGCCACATTTACATAGATGCATTCTCATCTGCCCATGGGTCTCTAGAAATGGGGTTCTAGAACTACTTAGAACTCACCTAAATAGTTGTCATCCTCCTCAAAGTATTCACTACTATTGAACCTGTAGTCAGTGAAAACCCCTAAGTTTTTTTCTGTGTAACTTTTTTTACTATTACTAGTATTATTAGTCTCTTGATATACTACTATAAGTGCTAGTACTTGTTGACCTGACCAACTGAGTGTGTCAGGATCTGCATTGGCTGCCTCCTTAAGCGGGCCCTTTGTATTATGTAATTCTCCCAACTCATGAGGTCGTTATTATTTGCATTTTTGAGATGGGGAAACAGATTCAAAGTACTTACGTCACAGGACTTATATAAGTGAGAGAGCTGGGATGCAGTCCCAAATTGAATTTTCAGAACGTAAGTAAAGTCTTTCTATCTGTATTAACTATCATTTTTAATTTCTACTCATCATTCTAGCCTGTTGGAACCTTTATGAGTCCTAATTTTGCCATCCAGCGTATAAGCTTTTCCTCCCAACTGAGATCTTGTGTGACTCCCCTGTTTTCCTCCAAGTCATTGATTAAAATGTTGTTCAAGAGAGAGCCCTGTGATAAATGCTAACATTTCCTTCTAGGTTGAAATAAGTCACTCTCTTGGTACAGTTTTTTCAAATAGCTATAAATAAATATTGCTGTATTGTGGGCTACTTTACCTATAACCATCTTATCCACAAGAACAACTGAAGATATTTTTTTTCTCCTGCCTCTGGCATCCCCCCTGGCTATGAATCTAATAGCAGCACTGGGAAAGAAAAAATGCTCCTCTTAGTTTGGCCCAACTTGTTTATACTGAAATAATATTGGTCCCTAGTGACTACTCCTTTTCTTCTTACAAATCTTCTCTTTAATGAATGATTCTAGAATTTCGAGAGAGGTGAATCCAAACGAGAGTAGTATCCAAAATTCTGGTCCCTTTCTAACAATGTCATCGAGTTGCTATGTGACCTAGAGAAGGTCACTCTTTTAACCTAGACATTTCCGAAAAGAGAATGAGAACATTAAACCTACCACTTATTATTTTTTAAAGGGATTTATTTGATTTGGGCCACAACTTAATGCAGTAAATATTATCTCTGTCTTACAGATGAAACTAGGAAGACTTGGAGAGATTTGCAAACCTACCTAAAGTCGCTCAGGTTATAAATGGGGGAACTGGGAGCTATACTGTCTCAAAGTGGCAGATTGTTGCGAAGTCCTTCTGCTGTGATTTATTTTAGGACGCTCTGCTGCTACTAACTGTTCATTTGTACCAAATGGTATAGACTAAAAAGTAGATTTGCTTGAGCATCTAAGCACCTCCTACCCAACTAAATCAGCAGCGCACCAGAAGGCAACAATTCCCAAAGTGTTTTCAAAGGAACACTTGTCCCTCCGACAGCCTGAGGATAAAGCAGTTCTGTCAAATGTTTGACATACATCTCATACTACAGCCATTCTCTTGGAGATTCAAAGGGTTCTAAGGAGCCCTTTAGAAAAGAACTCCCTTTAACTCTCTTGAACCACAGAGCTAGAGTTTGATGAAAAAGATTTGGCTTAAACTGTCATAAGTGTTAGGGGTTTTGTTGTTGTTGTTGTCTTTTTAAAGTTTTACTCTTTGGGACATCCAAGGATGTCTATCCAAAGATACAATGAGGTTTCAACATATATTCTTACTTCAACGAACATTCCTGGTCTTTGGGAAGTGCTTTAAGGTTCACTGAAAGCTTCCTCCTGCCTGAGGGATCCTTTGGCCTTCACAACCACCGAGGTTAGGGTTGTGCCGGGATCCTTATTTTTCATTTGCGGAGAAAGGTCTGGAGTTGTTAAGGAAATTCCCTCAATGCTGTACAGCAAGAGAAGGGGCCAAACTCCAATTCAGAATTTCTCACACCAAAGTCAGTACTCTCGCACTCCACGAGTGTCTTTGTTTCTCTGCCTTTGATCATTTAACGAGCTTGTTGACGCGCTCAAAACAAGCAACTTTGAAAAATGAACAAGGTGACATTAAAAATGTTAGACAACCTTGCCATTATGACAGTTTCAGTCCTCAAAACGATATTTGGAATTTTTTCCCTTATATAAAGTTACTGTTCCTCAGCACGGTCAGCTTGGGGTTTGGAACAGAAAGTGGGGTATAGCCTACTAAGTTTGAGCCATGTGGGAAACCCTTGGGATCCTGGAAACAGCAGATTAGCCCACAGCTATCCCTGTTTATATAGTCGACGTGTGTTTGTTCTGTTTGAAGATACTTCAAAAATAACAATTGTAAAAGAGATTACTGCTTTGATCAGAGAATCTGAATCTCCTTTGTTTGACCGTGAATAATTGGTCTTTGTAATGTTAATGCTTCTTTTAAGGAATATCAGATCTGTAAATGCACCTTAATTACAGGCGAGCAGTTTTGGAGGGAATTTGTGACAGCATTTTACTGACGGTCTTTTCTAGTTCCCCTTCAAATCTAATTATAGTAGAAAGATTATTTTAGGCCAAGCAGTAAAAAGCTGTAATTATTAGTGTTTGGATTAATGTTCCCATTGGTCAAAATAGTTATCTTATTGAAGAGCAAGATCTAAATCTTTAAAATGTCCTATTTTTCCTATAAAGCACGGAATAAAAGGTAAAGCCTTAACTGAGATGCACTTGCCAACCTGTTAATTATAATTCTCGCCGCTCAGAAAACTGTTTTCTCCGGTCTCTACCTTTAGACGCACCCACGGGAATCCACCACTTAATGTTTGATTCCTAAAATGTTTCATTTTAATTTGAAACCAACTAAATAATCCCATCACAGTATATGAGTGCAGTAGGGAGAGAAGGAAATACTTTTTTTTTTTTTTTAAGTTGTTCCATTTTAATTTTGTTGATGTTGGAAGAAAATACATGTTAATATAGAATGTTAGATGTTGCTGAAGATGTGAGGAAATGGGATTGCTACAGTGCAGATGGGGCGATTTAGTTAGACAGGAGGAAGGATTTCTCAACAGCAGAGTGAAATCTCCTTACGTGGAGGTGGTTGGAAAGTTGCGTATTTTATGAAGCGGTGTGAGGCAAAGCCTGCGTGCCGAGCAAGGCCTCGTCTGAGAAGAGAACGTTTCCGCTGACTGTACTTGGGATCATCCATCGTATTAAATCCCAAAGTGGGATTTTTTCCTCACCTGGCTAGGCTGCTCGTGACAGGGAAGCACTTGGACCTGGGGCTAGCTGCTACTGCCAACGTGGAGGATTTTTTCCAGGATCGTGATAACATTTAAACTTACCATTTAAAAACTATGAATAGAGCCAATCACACCTGTATAGGAGGGGAAATATCTCTGAGATCTAAGCCATATTAAATTAGCACATTCCAAGTCGTGTGTGCGTGTGTGTGTGTGTGTGTGTGTTTCCTAATTATGGCAGCAATTAGCTTTGCAGCATTGCATTCATTCCAAGCAGCAGGAATGGGGAACAATAATCTTGTTTACCCGAAGCTGGAGAGAGTATACCTAGCTTTGTTCCTTCCACAGCCTAATCTAAATGCTTGCTAGGTGCCATCCCACACAATAGAGTGTTACTGGCCCCCCTCAAGGAACCTCCCTCGCCTGGTTAATTCAGTTGTCACTGAAAACCTGTACAAGGTCAAGGAAAAACAGGTAACAGGCCTTTTCAAACTTAATAAAGTGGCACATTTTGTTTACATTTATTTGGAAGGTAGAGATCTCAGATATAGGAACACTTTTTTTTTTTAAATCACCTAATCTATGAAAATTATCAGAGGGAAAATAATGGAACTCCTTCGAATTGTTGTTGACAATTAATGGAATAGGAAGGTGGCTGTTGTAAATGGCTCTCTCTCGCAGTAATGGGGAAAAGCAAATTATTAAATGGACAAGTTATTTACGTTTGAAAATAAACTGCATCTCACACTGGGAAATTCGGTTATAGGCGATTCTGCATTACAACACGAACAGGTCATTAGTTTTAATTTTCCACAACAGAGATTTTAGGGTAATTTGCTTTCATTAGAATGGAGTAGTTTCTCTCCTACACACATTATCATTCAGCCCCTCTGTTGTCACCATTAGAGATCTCCCCACCCCCGCACCCCCCGCCCTAATGTGTAAGAAGAATAGCCTTGATTTTTCTGAGTGTCTAAATATTATGGCAAAAGTTTCATTGCATTCAGCAAAGACTGAAATGCTAGGTGAGCATGGTGCAAATGTATCACCAGTGTTGTCGAATGCCAAACGTAATCACACTAGGACAGTGTACTACCAGCATTTGCCATGTTTTAGTGTTTTAGTGTGCTTAACGTACATAGTCTATTTCTGTACTGTAAAATGTAGGCTACCACAGAAGAAGAACAATAATCAGTTATACATTAACCACGAAAGGTCATTTCTTGTGGCAAATGCAAGGTCTATTGATCAAGTAATATTTGTCAGTAGAAATGAGTCTCATTACTGAATGCAGCTCATGAAGGAAACCACTGTCTAGTAGGACATCAGGATAAGTGCAAACCATCCCTTTGCTTGGGGTGGTTTGAATATCATCAAGTGTTTATCTTCACTCTTATAATATAATTTGCTAACTTTTCAGCTAATCAATCCCTGAAGCTGCATTCTATGGTTAACTCACGATGCTGCCCATTCAAACAATGATTCATCGCCTACTGTTAACTATAAGATAAGAAAAAAATTAAAAGAAAATGAATGACGTATTCACTTGTGTCACAAAATTGTCTATAAACTAGTTTCCCAGCAGGAGCTGTGGTTTGGTTTCAAACTTAAGTGACTTGTCTATGTAACCTTATCTTCCGGGTACTTCCAGCAAACTTCATTATTATGCAATCGAGCCCATAAATATAAGTAGAAGTTAACTTGAATGGCTGAAGTAGAGTTAGCCATACACATGTCATTAAAGCTTTATCACCATTTCTGCCATAAACCTCTCCCTTTTCCTTAAGAGATTTACCAAGCTATCATAAAAATGTATTATGGCTCTTTCTTTGCAAAACATGAACTCCTGAGAGGTGGCTTGCCTCCTTAATTAAACGTATGGGGCTGCAGCTTAGCATCCCATACGAGTGCAACGTATGTGCTGCTAACATGTCAGGACAGCCTGTGTAGATCGAATGTCACAGGGCTGACGGGCACCAAATTCCCCAAAAAGTCACCCAGTAATTCCAACGATGACATATTACTAGAGGTATACAATTAAACACATTTAACCAGTTCACCAAATAAACAAGGAAAAGCATAAGAGGATGCTTTGTCGGAGGAAAAGTGACTATACATAAACAAATATCTGTAACAGAGAGAGGGATTTTCCAGGGATATTATCAACCTAAAATAATTAAGCCGGAAAACTGAAAAGTTTAGATCTCCTAAATTGGCTTAGCAAAAGACTCTAGCAAGCATACTGATAATTCTGCTGATATCTTTTCAGGAGCCACTTCCAGGAGCATTATATCTTGCAGTATATATACAGTATATTGAGAAACTATACTTAGTTTCATATATATATGTTTATATATGTTTTTATATATATATATATATATATTTTTTTTTTTTTAGATTTTTTTTTTCAGTAATTTCTACATCCAACATGGGGCTTGAATTCACTACCCCGAAATCAAGAGTCACATGCTCTTCCAACTGAGCCAGCCAGATGCCCCTCAAATGTATATTTTTAAATGGGTAGACACAAGGCCTCTCTTTTTATGGATGACTTCCCTTTAGAAATATGAAGTTATTTTAATTACTTCTTACTTTCTATGTTCCTATCATAGAAGCTTAAGGGTCATGCAGTGGAAGATTACTCGACTTGCATCAAACAACTGAGTTCAAATTCTTCAGGGCCCTTCTCATAGGTCTCTTCCTCCAAGAAGCCTTCCTTGACTAGCTGGCCCAGATAGTACTTTATCTTCTGGGTTTTTATAGTATTTTATGGTTAACATTTAATAATGCTTTTGGTCTTTGGATTCCCAGTGCTCATTAGCACAGTTTGTGCCACTCGGTAAATGTTTATTTAATAATGGATTTTTCATTTCTTCTAAATTGAAAGGTTTTTTGTTTTTTTTTTAAGATTTTATTTATTTATTTATTTGCGAGGGAGAGAACAAGTGGGAGGAGGGGCAGACTCCCCGCAGAGCAGGGAGCTGGATTCGGGACTCGATCCCAGGACCCCGGGATCCTGACCTGAGCTGAAGGCAGACGCTTAACTGACTGAGCCACCCAGGCTCCCAAAAGTTGTCTTGTTTTGTTTTTTGTTTTTTTAGGATAGATAAATCCTTTGGTTCTTTTCAGACCAATAAATTCCATGAATCAGGGCTTATCTCCCTAGTATTAGGACATTCATGAAGGTAGGCTACTTTATGCATGGAATTGTCAGTGCTTAAGAATAACAATATTGATGTCTTAATTACTATCAGGACATAGGTAGCACCTCCCTCACTTCATGCCATCCATGACCCCCAATCTCTTGCCTCTTCCCAGAAGAAAACTGTTGGTAATTTTGTGTTAGCTATTTTATTTTATTTATTTATTTATTTATTTATTTATTTTTAGGTAGGCTCCATGCTCAGCATGGAGCCCTGTGCAGGACTTGAACTCACAACCCTGAGATCAAGACCTGAGCTGAGATCAAGAGTGTGATGCTTAACCGACTGAGCCACCCAGGCACCCCATGTGAGCCATTTTAGACAACGTATATTTCATATAAATTATTTATGTAAATGGCACCATGAAATAGTATTAACCAGTGACATTTTAAAAAAATTATCATGCCTTTAGAAATCTTTTCATGTCACTACAGATATAGTTACTTTGTTCATTAAAATTGCTGGATAGGATCCCATGATGTGGATATATTAGAATTTACTTCATCATTTACTTGGTTGTTATGTTACTTATTGTTGAATATTTAGATGGTTGCCAATTTTTCGTCATTACAAACAGTGCTTCAATAAACATTCTGATATGTCTATCTTTGTGCATTTAAGTGATTTTGAGGAATGAATTCCTAAAAGTGGAATTTCAAAGTGTATAAAAATTGAACCTTTTGATAGATGCTCTAGATTGCCCTCTGTACAGATAAACATTTTACAAAATCATACGAAGTTATATTTTTACTAACATTATGAGACTTCCAGTTTCCCCCCAGTCTCACTGAATCTTTTTCATTTTTGTACATCATTTGAGCAAAAATGGTATTGCACTGCTGTTTTGATTTGCATTTCTCCATAGTAGTGAGGTTGAGACTCTTCTCATATGTTTGTCAGCTACTTGTATATCTTCTTTTGTGAATTGCTTATTTACCACGCTTGCCTAATTTTCTCTTGGGTTCTCTTTGCCTTATAGATTTTTCAAGATCTCTTTTATGATAGTGGATATTAATCCTTTGTTGCAAACATTTTCTCCCAGATAGTCCGTTACTATTTTGGGTGGTTGAAAGTTGAGGGGTCACTTGTCTTTTAATATTATGGTCACATTGATTCATGAGACTCTCCACTGTGTTAGACATTCTCCTAGACTGTATTACATAAATTCTTTATATAGCATGTAGAAACTGGATTTGATTAATCCATGTGCCCAGTGCTCTCACCGGTCCATCCAATTTGTGATTTAAACCCTAAGTGCCATGCCAGTTCTTGCCTGGAATTCCCTCCCCTTTCCTTCTAGCTACTGTTTCGGAGAATCTTGTCTTTTCTTTAAGGGACAATCCAAGAATCAACTTCCACGGTGATCTCTGTGATCTCTTCTTTCCTTGTTTACCATTCATTTGCACATGATGAATTTATCTTGTGTGTGCATCTATTGTAACTTCAACCGGGTGGTAAGCTATTGGGAAGCTATTCCATTAAAGGACCTTGCTTTTACCATAACTTCTCATGTTTTACACATAGTAGGAACCTAGTAAATATGTGTTGGTTGCTTTAAAAAAAATTTTTTATAAGGAAATATTGAACCTGCCCTCTACCCCCTATACATACACACTATGGGGAATTTGCCTATGCATTTCTTCATTTTCTTTGTGTAATTGGTCTTTTTTACAGTTTGTCATTAGGCTACACCTGCTCCTAATGTCTACATTTTAAAACCTCAAAAATAAAGTTGTGAACAATATTAAGGATCTGATTTTCTCAAAATTCTCTGGTGGCACAAAGAAGAATCTAGTAGTTTTCAAATTTGAAAGACACATCTCTAAAGTCCAACTAATTCCCTGGTATAGGTCTTTATTTCATGCTACGTGAGGTCTGTCTTCTCAAACACAATCACAGTGCTGGTTGGGATCTAACATGGGCCCACTAAAGAGGAACCCTGACCTTGCAGCAGTTTTTTGGTCTATTTGTTTGTTTTTCAAAATGAAAAGGCAAAACCGAATCTAAACCACGTTAAAATAAGACTGAGATTTCATTGCTTCAACCATTATTAACTCAAAGTCAATCTTTCATTCATACCTTCACTCAATGCTCACTGTGTGTGTGTGTGCGTCCGTGTGTGCGCATTCTTCATTCAGTCATACATTTTCTTTTACTGTTCTACTTGGCAGAGACCAGGCTGGGGAAACAAATATGAATGCAACATGGAATATAATAAAAGCAAATTTGATAAGTGCAGTGATGGTGATGGTACCCAGGACATCAGAGGCGTCGTGACAGAGAAATGTTAGGTCCATGAAGGCTGAGGGAAGGGACATGTTTTAGCTAAGATAGAGTTACTTTGTGGGTTTGTGATGGGTTCGCTTGGATTTAACTCTAAGACTGCTACAAATACAAGTCTGTGAAAACCAGTCCCAGAAAGTAGGATCTTAACTTTTGAAGTAAATCAAATAGTTCCCAAGCTTTTATTCTTTTTTTCTTTTAATTTCAAAACTCTTTCAAAATTACATAAAAAGTTGCAAAATAAACAAAGAATTGCCATATACCTTTTACCCAGATTCACCAGTCACCATTTTGCCACATTTGCTCTGTTTCTCTCCCTCTCTCTCTCTCTCTCTACACACACACACACACACACACACACACATTTTGGGGTGGGGGGAGCTTGATTAACTCAACTGTTAGTTACAAACATCTTGACCTTTTATCCATAAATATTTAGGGTGCATGACCTAAGAACAAGGATATTCTCTCTCTCTCTTTTTTAAAGATTTTATTTTAAAGTAATCTCTACACCCAATGTGGGGCTCATACTTACAACCCCAAGATCAGGAGTTGCATGCTCCACTGACTGAGCCAGCCAGGTGCCCAAATGCATTCTCTTATAGAGAGTTACATTATAAAGTTTAGAATGTGCCATTGTCCATACTCAAATTTTGCTAATTTCCCCAATAATGTTCATTACAAACAGTGCTGCAATAAACATTCTGGTAAGTCTGTCTTTGTGCACATTTAAGTGATTTTGAGAAATAAATTCCTAAAAATGGAATTTCAAAGTGTATGAAAGTTTTATTTATAGTCCACACTGAAATTTTGCTAATTTACAGTCCATACTCAAATTTTGCTAATTACCCCAATAATGTTCCCTATAACAATCTCCCCCACCACATCTGGATCAAACAGATCAAGATCTCTTTGAGCTTTCATGATATTTACATTTTTGAAGAGTACAGTAGGGTGGGTTTGTAGAAAGTTCCTGAATCTGAATTTGTCTGATCTTTCCTCCTGGTTGGATTCAGGGTATGAATTTTTGGTAGGAATACAAGATAAGTAATGTTTCATCCTTCTCAGTTCATCACATCAGGAAGGACATGAAGTCAGTTTGTCCCATTAATGATGATGTTAATTTTTTTTTTTTTAGGTAACCTCTACCCCCAATATGGGACTTGAACTCACTACTGTGATATTAAGAGTCTCATGCTGTACTGTCTGAGCTAGCCAGAAACTCCTGATGATGTTAATTTTGATCATTTGCTTAAGGTAGTATCTGTCAAGTTTTTCTATTGGTAAGTTACCATTTTTCCCATGAGGTAATTAATACCTCAACTATGGGGAAATACTTTATGACTATGTAAGTATCTTATTGCTCATCAGAATGTCACCCGATTATTTTAGCTTTCATTAATTCTTGCCTGAATCAATTAATATGATATTGGTTGTAAATGGTATAAATGGTGATGTTTCTCTAATTTCTTCTCCATTTTTAGAAGGCATTCTATCAAACTTTTATTCTTAATTTTAACTTTTATGTATATAATGAATAAAATTGAGTTCACCAAACATCAGTTGCCTATTTTGTGTGGGACACTGTGGTAGGAGACATCATAACAACTCAAAGACAAGACCATTTGGGTCCTGCAGGAACATATAATTTGTTGGTTGAGATGGATGCAAGGCAGATAGTAAGAAATGCTTTACTGGAGAAACAAAGCTAATGGCAAGGGGAAGAAACCAAAAGAGGGTAATTCTTTTTTTTTTTTTAACATTTTAATTTTTTTTTTTTAAGATTTTATTTATTTATTTGAGAGAGAGAATGAGATAGAGAGAGCATGAGAGGGGAAGGGTCAGAGGGAGAAGCAGACTCCCTGCCGAGGAGGGAGCCCAACGCGGGACTCGATCCCGGGACTCCAGGATCATGACCTGAGCCGAAGGCAGTCGCTTAACCAACTGAGCCACTCAGGCGCCCCTTTAAGATTTTAATTTTAAGTCATTTTAAGTAATCTCAGTGTGGGGCTCAAACTCACAACCCGAAGATCAATAGTCACATGCTCCACCCACTGAGCCAGGCAAGTGCCCCAAAAGAGGGTAATTCTTACTGGAACATATGGAGTGACATTGGAAGAGAGGTGGGATTTTTAGTTGGGCTTGTGATAATGTGGTTTTTTGGCCAAAGAAAGACATTAGAGTTGGAGGGAACAGTAGTGATATTTGGGAAATGACAAATAAGCCCCACGGTTAGAGCCTAAGTTCCCTGGGAGGGGGGCATAGTGGGATTCCAGGTTGGAAAGATCAGCTGGGGGCCAGCTCAAAGTCACACTCAGAAGAGTTTTGACTCCAGTCTACTGATTGTGAGAAGCAATGAAACATTTGAGGGGGGGGGGTTACTTTTCAGATGATGCTGAGGGCAGGGATCGTGTCTAATTCTTCACAGATCCAAGGCCTATACTAGTGATCAGCACATGGAGTGGGTTGGATAAATGTTTGCAGGCACCAATGTACAGGATGATTTAAAATAGGGACTGGTGTGTGTGTGTGTGTCTGTGTGTGTTTCACATGTGGGTTGATACCATGATCAGGAGGTGGGGAGAAAAGGGGGGCCCTTAATTCAGAAATCAGCTCTCTGTTGAATAGTTTATAGTAAATGTTTTAAATATCAAGTTCCTAGGGGTACCTGGGTGGCTCAGTCGGTTAAGTGCCTGCCTTCGGCTCAGGTCGTGATCCCAGGTCCTGGGATTGAGCCCTGAGTTGGGCTCCCTGCTCAGTGGGGAGCCTACTTCTCCCTCTGCCCCTCCCCTGCTCATGCTTTCTCTCTTTCTCTCTCAAATAAATAAATAAAAATCTTAAAAAAAAAAAAAATCAAGTTCCTAGACCACCAACGCCACCCTCCCCCAGCCAACACCACCCTCCTCCAGCATTAATTTTCAATTCCCAGTAAGCAAATTTGGGAATTATTTGTTTATTTTTTAAGATTTATTTATTTATTTGAGAGAGAGAGGCTGAGAGTGAGACAGAGAGCACGAGCAATCAGAGGGAGGGGCAGAGGGAGAGGGAGAGAATCTCCAGTGACTCTCCACTGAGCACAGAGCCTGACTCCATGAGGCTTGATCCCAGGACCCTGAGATCACGACCTGAGAGGAAACCAAGAATCCAAGGCTTAACCGACTGAGCCACCCAGGCACCCCTTGGAAATTACTTTTGAACAACTTTGGGTGCCAGGAAGGAGAACAAGGAAGAAGGAAGTATAAACATCTCATTAGAAACTATTTCATTCTATATCTCCTCTATGAATATTTTAGAATTTAAAAAAACCAAACAACACAAACAGCTCTTTAAAGATGCCTATACATTTTTTTCGGGGGGGGGGGGAATTATCACGCTTGTTTATTTCTTGGGCATGTTCTCTCTTATATGTGTTGTTTCTCTGACTTGTTTCCCTGGCAACAAAGGAGGAAGGACGGTGCACAGAGGCTTCTAGTTTCTCCCAGTTTTGTTTAGTAGAGGGGGAGGGGCCGAAGCAGACTCTCACTGCCCCTGAGAGGGGCCAGGAATGGTTCTTCGGGGGTGAGGTCACATCGGGTACCCGCCTGACAAATGGTCCATCCACCTTCGGTCTTCACAGCACCAAATGGCTTGGGTTGGCGGTGGCTGCCAGGCCCTGCTGTCCCCCAAGGATGCCTATAAATTTTATCTAGCTTTAAGAGTCTATGCATTTTGTCAAAACACTGTAAATAAGCTTTAATAGAGGAAAACAAAGCAAGAAAATGAGATACCCAAAATAACTGAGTAAAAATCATTGTAGAAGTCTTACTGATCACTTAGGAAATGAAACATATTTATATTTATGTATATTTATATTTCATACATTCCCCAGGTTGTCCCTTTCCAAGTTCAAACTTTGTAATCTCCAGCTTATTTATTCTGCAGTGAGTCTTGAAAATCTAGCAGTTTGGTTAAGAAAGTTTACATATCTTCACAGCACAGGGTGATTGCAAGTTGTGGCTTTACTTGTTGCTTTCAAATGGAAAATCATTTTTTTTTAAGATTTTAAAAAAATTTTTAAGTGATCTCTACCCCCAGCCGGCGCTTGAACTCACAACCCTAAGATCAAGAGTCACGTGCTCTACCGACAGAGCCAGCAGCTTCCCCTCAAATGGAAAATCTTGGTCATTATCTGGAGTCCCAATGAACACTTAATTGTGTAAAGGCGACATTTACTTACATTTTTATTGAAAACATTTATTCTGGGGGTGCCTGGGTGGCTCAGTCAGTTAAGTGTCTGCCTTTGGCTCAGGTCATGATCTCAGGGTGCTGGGATCCAGCCCCGCACCGGGCTCCTTGCTCAGCAGAGAGTCTGCTTCTCCTCTTCCTCTCCCTCTGCCTACTTGGGCTCTCTCTCTTTCTGTCAAATAAATAAATAAAATCTAAAAAAAAGAAAACATTTATTCTGATTATGAATGAAACACATGGAAATTGTGGAAAATTTAGAAAATATTGAAAAACAATGAAAAACTACCAATCCTTTGACCATCCCATGGTAGCCACCAAAAATATACCTTTTGCATTTTCTTTTTGTCTTTATGTGTGTGTGTTTATAAAACCTCTTAATTTTTTTACTTGACATACCATGTGACCAAAAATTTTAAATAATGTAATTTCTGATGGCATAACTATAGCCATTGTATAGATATATCGTTAAATTATTCTGTTATTGGTCACTTGGGATATTTCCAATTTTATTTGGATTATATATAGATATTTCCTAGAGGGGGAATTAGCTATCATGTTAAAGGTTATTTCCATTTTATAATTTTTTTTTTTTTAAGATTTTATTTATTTGACAGAGAGAGAGACACAGTGAGAGAGGGAACACAAGCAGGGGGAGCAGGAGAGAGAGAAGCAGGCTTCCCATGGAGCAGGGAGCCTGATGCGGGGCTCGATCCCAGGACCCTGGGAGCAGGACCTGAACCGAAGGCAGACGCTTAACAACTGAGCCACCCGGGCACCCCTATAAATCTTTTTATTTTGTTTTTTTTTTTTTAAAGATCTTATTTATTTATTCATTTGAGAGAGGGAGAGAGAGACAGAGAAACAGCATGAGAGGGGATAGGGTCAGAGGGAGAAGCAGGCTCCCTGCTGAGCCGGGAGCCCGACGCGGGACTCGACTCCAGGACTCCGGGATCATGACCTGAGCGGAAGGCAGTCGCCCAACCAACTGAGCCACCCAGGCGCCCTATTTTGTATTTTTTTTAAGTAATTTCTATACCCAGTGTTGGGCTCGAACTCACGACCCTCAAGATCAAGGGTCACATGCTCTACTGACTGAACCAGCTAGGAGCCCCAAGGTTATTTGCATTTGTAGCCTTCCTCATACTTATTGTCAAACTGTCCTCCTCAAAAGTTATATGAGTTTTCACAACCCTCACCAGTGGATAGAAGTTAAGGCATGAAGGGCCAGTTGGTCTCAGCACCACTTTTACACATTTCATTTACAAATTAATCTCCAAAAGGGCCTTCCCTTGTGACCCCTGTGCAGCCCACTTGAGCATTCATTGTGCATGCCCCCCACCCTGGGACCATTAGTGCCTTTGTCATCACATGAACAGCAATTGGCTCAAAACACTGCTCATTGTGATGATGATGTGGCCTGGTGATATGGCCTCCTTAGTGTTCTAAAAGATTGTTTGGTGTAACTACTTCAGTTCAGCATTTTTCTCTGACCTTTCCTATCATGTTTAGAGTCAGAATTCAAATGCTGTACAGTTTAAGCTACAGTATGCCTGGCCTATAACGTGGTTCAAGGCATTTATATTTATGTCATTTTTGTCTGCTTATTATACTAACAAGGTGGAAAAAGCTATCCCAGTCCTCCCCAAAAGGTAAAATTCTGGGGTTTTTTTGGTCTATTGCTAGAGTTTTAAAAATAGGTTAGATAAATTACAGTACATTTAGGAATAACTGCACATTGAGAGTTTTATGAAGAACACATTTAAATCCAAACTTAATATAAAATTTAATTTCTTAAGAACTGTGGTGGGAGATAGTACAAAAATAGAGTATTAACTTTTTTCTTGAGACAGCATTTTAATTTATACAAATAAGAGGTATATTAGTCCTATTTAAATTATGTATTTTTTCAACAAAAAGGGATGAAATCTTTTCTCATGTCTGTTAACCTTTGAGTCAAAATGGTTTGACTAATCTCAATTGAAGCTTCTATTTACTGTGTTCTTTCCTCAATGACTTTTTTTTTTTAATTTGAAGTATGGCTTACAGCAGTTGCCATTAATGAAAAAATTAAATGTTAAAAATGTGAAATGTTTAGAGGACAATAATTATGTTTTTTATGTTTCTGTTGATACAAAGTCTAACACTAGGTAGGCAATCAGTTAATATCAAGAAAGTCACTAAATGGCATAATCTTACCCTAGAGAAGAGTGTACTCCCTTATAAAAAATTATTTTTACTCATTCTCTTGCTTTTTCTGTAGTCCAATATCACTCGGTAATTTGATTCTGACTTTACAGAAATGGAATATTCCACGAATATTTTCCAAAGTGAACAAAATGCTGTCTAAAATTGTCTTAATTTCAAGCTCTCCCTGACATTTTGGCTGAACAACTGAATACAGATACTTCTTTTGCCGTGTCTTCGTGTGAACATTGCCCGAGTGATAGCTTCATATTTCTCTCGTCTCATCATTCAGAAGCTATTTATCCATTTTTTTCCACTGCCTCCTTTAAGCCTCCTCCCTGCCCCCCCCCCATCACTGAATGCCTGTTCAGCCCCCACACATTCAGGCGTATTTATTCCCGTAAAGATAGTGACACTTATGGTTTATTCTAAGACTAAATCTGTGTTGCCCAGTGACTAAGGACTTAAGCATGCACACTGCTTCTACGCTTACCCTCCTACCTAACTTGACTACTCAACTTTCTTTCCCTCAGAATTCTCTGTTTTGGCACAGTTCAGTTAACATACCCCTGCCAGGCCACTAATTGATTTCTGAAACCTGACATTTGTTTTTTGTTTTCTCCTATCTTCCCTAATGGTACAGCACTACTAAGCAGGAAGGAATGCAAAGAACTAGAAAGTTCAAAGTAATTGAGGATCTGTCCATTCACACTGTCTGGCATCATGCCAGTGTAGAACCTGGAACATTTGAAAAATATTTATCAAGTTTTAACCCTTTTTGTAAGTCGGTGAATCAGGTTTGCAGCTGTAGCATGTGTGCTAACAGCAAGTAAGCCTGGTTGAACATGTTCTTTCTATGTTCAGAATCGCATGGCAAATGTCTCAGAAAAGGATTACTTTCCAATTTCCGTACTATTGTACAGTGCTAAGCTAGTTATTTTCTGTGAGATTGCAGAGCTGGGCATTTCAGAGAAACCATTACTTAAAAGTGGCAGCCCTGTTTTATGAATCCTTATGTCAGAAATGAAATTTAAATAAATGCTACTATATTTGAACAAAAAAAACCCGATTGAATTCCGCTTTTCTAACGTAAATGTATTGGGAGCCCAACCATAGCTAGGTTCATATCTTTATTCATTACAAAGAAATGGAAATGTGAAAAAAAAAAGAACAGGACTATACAAGTATTTTATTAAAAACTTATCCAACAGTTGGGTTTTATTTTGTTTAGCTATTCGGAAAGCATTTGTAAATGAAAGCATGTTAAAAAAATGGTGTGAAATATAGAAACATTTCCAGTAAAATAACTGGATTTTATTGTAGTGAAAACAGGTTGAAATAACAGGCCACTGATGCTCTGATAAAACAAAGACAAAAGAAAAGGTCTAGATGGGCTGAGAGGCAAATTAAAATATAAATAGATACTAAATTATGTTAAACCTAAGTTAAAAAGAATATAAAACTTCTGTTAAGACTTTATATCACACTCAGGTTTGATCATGTTTTCAGCATTATAACTAAAAATCTGTCAAAGTTCAATTTTTTAAAAGGTAATTAAATCCCATACCAATTCTATAATCTGTTTTTAAGTTATTTAATTACATCCTTGGGTTCAATCTTAGAGAAAATCAGGACAGCTTTTTAAAAGGTGGCGGTGGATACTATGGAATTGCTTAGAAAAAAATTTGCAAAAACACTTATTAAATACTACTTAGGTAACATGAAAGTAGTCGTCAACCATTCTCTGAAAGAAGTGATCACAGCTATAAAGATGAATCATTTATTAACAAAAAGGAAATGAAAAGGAGAAAAAAATTTTATAGCATAATTTTGTTTTCTAATAATAAATACCTCTAATATTTCATATGTATATTATTTTTTTAATCTACACACTGAAATGAGATCCATACTTTTAATAGGTCCACCTCTTTGAAGTGAACATTCTTCTACGAGCTCGTTTTTTTTTAAGCTGTTTTACTGTGAAGTGATGAGTAGGCTATTGTATATGTAAAATTGTCTAATAGTATAATGTGCTGTCAACATATATACATATGTAGTAATATACCAGGCATTTTTATTGCAGTTTATTGTTCCGGCTTCTCAATAAGCCAGATAAAATCATATACAAGAACATTAAGGACTAGAGAAGTGGTTTCCTTAGGTGATTGCTGGCAAAACTTCACCTTCCCATTATAATGTAGTTAATGGATGGTCATATATTTGACTATTACTTTCCTACAAATGTGGATTCCCAGTTTTCAGAGCTGCTGCGCGTCTAGTGTTTGTGGCTTCTTTGATTGTCTTTTCGTAGGAAAAGGTGCCATAGTGTTAGGTAAATGTGCTACGTTGTCTGTTTTGTAAATATTAAACTCCATTTTTTTTGAGCATACAATGCTAGCAAAAACAAGTCAAAGATGTAATCTCTATGTAAATACATTGGAACCAGTCAGTCGTTAGTGCTTAAATTAGATTCCGTGCTTCAGCTACAATCAAAAGTGTAAATATTAAAACCTTCAAAATTCGTATGGCCCATCCCCCTCCTCTCCATACACGGATACGAGGTAGAAATGTGTGTGAAAACTTCTAACCATTTAAATACTGTAGGGAAAAACAAGCTTGTATGCAAGGACTTCAAATAATTTTTGCCATTAAACCTTTTATTCAGGACATTCCGGATTTGCTTTGCTAAATGGACATGTTCACTGCTAAAGATACACAGACACAAGAGCTGTTTTTAAATTTGTTTATCACACCGCCCCTAGTTTTCCGCTAAAGAAAAGTACATTTTGTGTATTTAAAAACATACACTCATGAAACAAGTCTCTCAAATCCTTGGCGCCCCCACCTAGCTGCCTTCTGGGTTTCAGCTTTTGAGTTTCAGGTCCTTGCACAACACCTAAGACGTGCAAAACTCTTTTTCTCCCTAATCCTGGCGAAGAACAGTCTGAAGAGATCTCCCTCCACGTCTCCACCCTAATTCCCTCTCTTCCTAGATTCCACCCGCTTCTCTCCTTTCCTCCGCCCCCGGCTCCGTCAGCCCAATCTGTCAGAGAAGTTGTGTACAAACTGCGCGGCCGCCCTGCGCGCGAAAGCTCGTGGCCCGAGAGGGCGGGTCAGCCCGGCGAAGGCGGGGCCTGGGAGAACTTCTCCCTTCTCATAGGCTGCTCACTCCGGCCAGGCCGGCCTCAGGGCTTCGGGATTCGCCCTAGCGCTGCCAGTCAGGTTGGCGGGCCCCGCCCACCCGGAGTTGGGTAAAATAGAGGCGGGCGTCAAGTGTCAGCAGTCGCGGGGCAGGTACGCGCGCTCGCAGCTCGGTCGTGGAGAGCGGTGGTGGCGGGAGCGGGCTCCGGCGAGCGAGAGAGCGCGGTGGGGCGGGGCGGGGGAAAGTGGCCGCCCGGAGGACGTTGGCGTTTACGCGTGGCGGAGCGGAAGAGTTTTGCTTTTCGTGCGCGCCTTCGAAAACCGCGCCTGCTGTTGGCTGAGGGGGTCCGTCCGGAGCCTTCCCTTCTCCGCCCGCGGCCCCGCGCCGAGCTCGCCGGCCCGAATCAGCGTGGGCGAGGTGGGAAGCGCGCCCGACCCGCGTCCCGCGCCCGGAGCCGCCCCCTGAGTGCCAATGGCCACGCGGGTGCTGACAATGAGCGCCCGCCTGGGACCCGTGCCCCAGCCGCCGGCCCCGCAGGACGAGCCCGTGTTCGCGCAGCTCAAGCCCGTGCTGGGCGCCGCGAACCCGGCCCGCGACGCGGCGCTCTTCCCCGGCGAGGAGCTGAAGCACTCGCACCACCACCCGCAGGCGCAGCCCGCGCCCCCGCAGCCGCCGCAGCCGGCGCCGCCGCCCGCCGCGGGCCCGCGGCTGCCCCCTGAGGAGCTGGTCCAGGTAGGAAGAGCCGCTCCTCTCCCTCCGCCCCCCTCCCGGAGCTCGGGCGTGTCCCGCCGCTGCGACGCGCGGGCGACAGGGGCCGCTCCAGGCTGGGGCGTGCGTCGGGGCGCTCCGGGAGCCGGAGCTGGGTGGGCAGCCCCTCCCCGCCCTGCCCTTCTGGCCTGGGCACCCGCAATCCGCAGGGAGGGAGAAGGGAGGACCGGAAGAGGGGCTCCCAGATGAATCTCCCCAGACGTGTCCGTCCGGGAAAGGTTAGAGGCAAGTGGCTGCTCACAACGCACCTCAAGTGTTTTCTTAGCTTGGGGGATGAGACCTCGTACTTCACGTCCAACCTTAAATTCCGCCTTTCACCTTACCCCCCACCCCCACCCCCACCCCCCGCCGTGCTCTGCCCTTGGAGGTTCCCCCACGTCGTCTCGGGTTCGGTGGAAACGCAAACCGGGGTGCCGGCGAGAGGCGCCTCGGGGTGCTAGTTTCATCTCTCTCTGGCTGAGCCTGCTTTAGACGTGATCTTGGAGCTGCCTTTGGGAAACGGGAGTTAGGAAAGCTAAGGTTGTATTGGAGCGTTTGTTTTTCCTTAAAAAGAAAGACCAAAAAAGACCGGGGGTGGTGTTTTCTTCATGTGCGCGTAAATTTCCTCCCGGAGCCGCGCTGAAAGCTGGCAGTTGGCTTTTACACTTGCCCGGCAGCCGAATTAGAGCAACCGCCTGTTTCTTTCGCCCACGCAGGGAGTCATATAGCCCAGAAAAAACTTCCCGGGACTTTTAGCCTGTCCCAAGGAAGAAAAAAATTGGAAACATACCCACACGCGAACAGCTGGAAGAGCTAAAATCAGAAACCACTAACCACCACGGGAGCGAAGTGCACGAAAGGGTTTGAGTTCGGTTTATTTCGAGACGCTTCGTTTAATAGCCCCTTGGTATACTGCGTATTTGCTGCTCAGCTCCTCGTCCGGGTGGTCTGCGAGTTTCGTCGTGCTGTGAAAGGGCAGTGGCATTTGTCAGAGATGTGACTCAGATGACGAGAGCGTTAATTTTTATTTTTAAATCGTGTCGATCTGGGAAACCCTATCTGCATCCACCCCGAATGATACGAGGTCCGATATGAAACGCTTTTGAAATGCAGTAGCAAAAAATGACTACTACTCACCAGTTTCGGTGCCACGGTTAATAGTTCCATGAGCCATTTGATTGGGGTGGGTTTTTCTTTTAAAATTTACTTTTCAGTGTTAAAAATTAAATAAGTTTATGTTGTACTAGAATAGAAGATAGCTGTAAAAAGACCGAGGGAGACTAGTTCCAAGCTGGATTATCTAATAAAAAAAAAAAAAAAAAAAAAAATCACCACTTGAAAACGATTTGGTTATTTCAGGTTTGTCACTTTTCTGCTTAAGAGACACCAAGAGGATAAGGGATGATTGAGGTTTTTACAGAGTAAGGGGGAATGTAGCGTTGGCCCACTGAGGAGGACATGATAAATGTTTTGCTGATGACTGTGCTAGGGATACAGCAGCCTCTCCCCACCCACGGACTCCTTAGCACCACTCTACCAAGGGAGTGATTTTCCCCTAGGTAATTAAAGATCTGTTTTAGATAGGGATATGAATAGGAACATTTCATTATCATATTAACCAATTACAGAATCTGCTGATTAAAATCAACATTTAGATCAAATGTCGAAAGTGAAGTTGTTTTGTTCTTTCAGTGGATACTATGTTTTGCTCAAGACTTTGTATTTAAGTGTCCAGTGACCTATAAATGAGAAAAGGCGCTGAAATAGCCAAGGAATATGTTTTATATTAAATATTTCAACAATATCTGTCCAAGCAAACAAAACAAAACAGAACTTTGTGATATTTTTAAGGTTGGTTTGCTTAGGTTTTGTTTGTTTAAACATACCTATATTAACATAAATATGGCATGAACAGAAATGAGGTGGTTTGGCAGTATCACAATACTGTATTTAAGTTGCAAACTCGACCGTAATGGGGGAGAGAATCCTGCTTGTATGTGAGCTCTAAAAAAGTCTATTATTGATTAGAAAGGAAACTATGTATTAGTGATTAGAAAGGAATGTTTTCTGTGTGCTGCTACTTTTTCTTGATTTGCCTCTTTCACTTTTTGTCAGGGGCTGATTGTGGGAGTGATTTTACCAAGTAACACAGTATAGAGAGTTTCATAAGGCTTTTGGTAAACCAGTTATTGCTTACACAATTGACAAACTTGATATGTTTAGAAGCGACACTTAGAAGGAGTTGGCCTTAGTACTTTTCACAGGTCTTGTTGGGAATTTTTAGGAAGTTTGTCCTTACTCAGATGATGAAATGGGTGGATTATGCATGTTTGTATCTCTTCTTTTTTTAGACAAGATGTGAAATGGAGAAGTATCTGACACCTCAGCTTCCTCCAGTTTCTATAATTCCAGAGCATAAAAAGTATAGACGAGACAGTGCCTCAGTCGTAGACCAGTTCTTCACTGACAGTGAAGGGTTACCTTACAGTATCAACATGAACGTCTTCCTCCCTGACATCACTCACCTGAGAACTGGCCTCTACAAATCCCAGAGACCGTGCGTAACACACATCAAGACAGAACCTGTTACCATTTTCAGCCACCAGAGTGAAACGACTGCCCCTCCTCCGGCCCCGACCCAGGCCCTCCCTGAGTTCACCAGTATATTCAGCTCCCACCAGACCGCAGCTCCAGAGGTGAACAATATTTTCATCAAACAAGAACTTCCTACACCAGATCTTCATCTTTCTGTCCCTCCCCAACAGGGCCACCTGTACCAGCTACTGAATACACCGGATCTAGATATGCCCAGTTCTACAAACCAGACAGCAGTAATGGACACTCTTAATGTTTCTATGTCAGCTGCCATGGCCGGCCTTAACACACACACCTCTGCCGTTCCGCAGACTGCAATGAAACAGTTCCAGGGCATGCCCCCTTGCACATACACAATACCAAGTCAGTTTCTGCCACAGCAGGCCACTTACTTTCCCCCGTCACCACCAAGCTCAGAGCCGGGAAGTCCAGATAGACAAGCAGAGATGCTCCAGAATTTGACCCCACCTCCATCCTATGCTGCTACAATTGCTTCTAAACTGGCAATTCACAATCCAAATTTACCTGCCACCCTGCCAGTTAATTCGCAAAGCATCCAACCTGTCAGATACAATAGAAGGAGTAACCCCGATTTGGAGAAACGTCGCATCCACTACTGCGATTACCCTGGTACGTGATTTAACCCGGTTGAAGCGTGTGTGTGTGTGTATGCCTTTTTAAATCTCGGGCTTTAAATTTACATAGGAAAGTAATACTTGACAATGAAAAAACCACCTACTTTGTTCTTTTCATATCTCAGTCTCTGTACTGTACCCTGGAATGTAACTTTGTCTATTGCTGGTTTTATGTATAAAAAAAAATGGCTAGACTATTCTGGAGAAAAGTTACTTTGGACTTCTTTATTTTTAATATTGAATAAAAATTAGAATTTTGAGTTGCGCCAGAGTTACTTTGTTTAACGTCTAAATTGGGATTTTTAATTCTAAATTAAGTGCCCTGAAAAGAGGGTAAGGTAGGGAGAATAAGGTGTGGTAATGAAGTGGGGATTGAGTAGGCTGCTCTCATGATGGTAGATTATTACAAGACTCTGTACAGAATAGAACTAAGGATAGTTCTGATAGCATATGAGCATATATGCTCATTCTTGAAATGAGATGTGGCTCAAAATCTGAATTGATGATGGTGATGACTTTATCTACTGGCTAGTTTATGATTAATACAGGGTATAATTTATTGACTATGGTACATGATACAGCATGATAACACTAAATGAAAAAACAAATGTAGTAGTACAGAAAATTGCAGTCATCTTGGATAATGGTGTAACACTGTCAGCTCTAGAGCCATTAAAAGTTTTTAAATCACTGAAGTATATGTTACTAGTATAAAGCACCTACGGTAATATAAACGCACATTTCCCATTTGTAGCTTGCTTGATTATCTGCTTTTTCTGCTAAAGTGGTACATAAAGTAAATGACTTTATACCTTTAATAAGTTAACAGGGGAGCACTCTTTAAAACTGACACTTCAAATATCTAGCATGAGAGATTTCTTCTTTAAAGCCAGATTTTAAACACTGAATCATCAAATGTAAAGATTTCAAAAGGATCTCCAAAATGACAAGCTGTTCTTCCTCTCCTTTATTTCAGGCTGCACAAAAGTTTATACAAAGTCTTCTCATTTAAAAGCTCACCTGAGGACTCATACTGGTATGTAATTTTCTTGTTAATTCTGTGAGTTGTGTAAATAGTGTAAGTGGTATTCATCCTTTTAAAAGCCAACACGTGTTTGATCTCTTCTTTCTTCTGTCAACCTTTATTTTTTAATGGCCTACCTTTTCAGCACTGGCTTGGCTCAAAATTCAGTTCAGCGAAAAAGTCTGGTTCCAGGAAGGCTGATGTTCCCTTACCAAGGCCTTTCCCTGTCACCTCACGTAGAATGAATTACCCAAAAATGTAAACAACAATGTTTACTAATGTATTTTAAAACTTTAATGGCACTGCTATTCCTATCTTGAAGGAAAAAAAAAATGTAACTCATTTTCTTTCTTCCATAACAAATAGTTGGCTTCTGTAAGGTATATTAAATGCTAAAACTTTTCCATTTAGCATGTAAAGCATAACTGCTTAATACATCATCTTTAATTTCACCTTTAACCTAAAATCTCTGTTCAGCATGTTTTCTGTGGCTGATGAAAGGTAGGGCCGAAATTGCAGACTATTAAAATCAGGCAAAGATGGGGTCATGGTTTAAAAGTTTCTCTATACCCTGTGCCAGCCCAGATTTCAGGTATTTAAGACTTTATCTTTATTCCAGTTTATATTTAGTCCTTGTTTAGAATGTGCCTTTACATGGGGTCACTTTAATTTTATATTTATCTTGTCAACTCTATACATCCACTTTTGAATGCTTTTTTTAATTTTAAAACTATATATTAGAAACCATTTTAAGACATAACTACATGGCATGCATTATAAAAAGCTTCCAAAAAGACCCAAAATATTTTCAAATATATATAGATGGTTACAATCTGTGATTTTCTTAAAAGGCCAGCCCTAAAGGAAAGAACTTACATGAAATGATTGTGTGTTTTTTTTCTCTCAGTAAATTCAGCCTTACCTAAAGTTCAAAGAATAAGTTTGCTAATAAAAGCAATGACCTAGCAAAATGTTTTATTCCATCATTGCTATGGAAACCAAAGTATTCAACGGTTCCTTTGAATGGGTTGTTGGATTAGTGTGAGGACTTGAATCTCCCCAGGCTAGATGTTACTATGGAAATTGAGTTTTGATAAATGAAGTAGTTATCTCTAACTGCTGCATTAAAAAGTAAAAGCCTTTGAACAAAGGTCAGTGCTGAGATAGAACACTAGGAGGAATATGGCTGCAGACATTTTGTATGCTTGTAAGAAGTATTACTTGATATCTCAGTGATAAACACTACTTATTAAAATCTAAATAGCATTGGCGTCAGTGGTAGATTCCAGGACTTTCTGAGAAATTGCTTTTAAAGAAAAGACAGCTCAGGTATTTATCAATGAAATGAATGGGTTGTTTTGGTCTGAAGTTTTTAGATATAGACAAAGTGATTTATATGAAAGGCAAGATCCTACATAAGCAGCTCAAAGTAGAAATTATATTTATAGTTAAACAACCATTAAGTATATAATAAACTCAGTCTAAAGTAAATGATGGCCATGAAAACATTCCATATAGAAATAGTAAAATAGCCATTTATAGAATAAATATTCTCTGAGGGAGGGAAACATTGAAAATGGCTTTTTACCTGAATTTTGACTAATGGGACTGGAAATAAATTTGAAACATTTGAATGATTGTTTTTTCTTCTTTGAAAGTCCTTGAAATGGGAGGTAGGAAGGAGGGAACATGTTTTTCATGAGGTTAAAGTCTACTAATAAAAAGAGTGCAATTGCATATCACACTGTAATCAACTGCTTATTGCAGGGATGTAGTCAGAGCGTATCTGAATGGCCTTGCAACCCCTGTCAGGGGTTAGTGCTCTGAATGCTTATAGCTGGGATTCTGGAACTTGACCTGCTGGCAAAGAAATTTAATAGCGGGCTGTCTTAACAATGATCGTACTAATAAAACCAAACTAAAAAGAAGACCCAGGCCTAGTTTGTGTTCCATGCATCAACTTTTTCACCTGATCATAAATGTGTGGCCATCGACATCTAATGAATGAGACCATGTGATCCAGTTTAATAAAGTTTTGTTTGATAGTCTCTCAAATGCCTTGGGGAGGGTTTGTAGCTGACTTGTTCATCTGGCTAAACCCGTTCTTGGGTAATCATAGAGCATTGAGGTTGTTTTCTCCTCATTTCTAGTTTCTAGACAATGTCTTTTAAAATTACCTGGGCTCTCTCATTGCATCCTCCCCTGCTTGTTTTTTAATGAATGTATCTGAAGCCAGAAAATCCTTGTTTTTGTTTTTCCTCTTTTTCCCTTTAAGGCCCAGGTATTCCTAAATAACTTCTCTTACTTAATAGCTGTTTCGTTTGTTTTGTATACATGTTCCCTACTGTGCCCTCCATCCCGCCCCCACCCTACACAATTTATTAGGAGATTTTTTTAAAAAAATCTATATGGGATAGATCTTGTATTTGATACAAAAATTACTTTTTAAGTGATTGCCATCTTGCAGGCAGAATGTGAAAAGCCACCCTAGCATTTCCATGGAATATAATTGTAATTGCTTTAAAATGTCAAGTTACCTTATGTTTTAAAAATGATTTAAGCAATTAAAACTACATCTGAATTCTATTTAATTGCTTATTCTGGATTTTTAGACAGTAAGTACTTCCTGACTTGCAAATTGAACGTAAAGGAACCGTCTTTCCAGAACAAGATCTTTTTCAAAAAATTTGGGATGAAAGTAGAAGATACCAGTTTCTTGAACCAGAATTCCCATAGCATTCTTCTAAGCATTTTTCTAAGTTCATACACTCGATTTCTTTATTCATAAAAGAATATACAAGTAGTACAAAGTTCTGTCTTTGTATGGTCACACAAAATACCTGAAATGTACTTTTCCTGTATTTTAGGAAATGGTTATATTTAACTTACAAACCTGTCTATATGTACATGATACATATTTATAGGTCTGTAGAGGTACCCCTTATATGGGCGTGTGGGTGTTTGTGTTATTTGTAATGTGTGTGTATATACATATCATACCTCTGGTTAGAAATCATTATGCAGTGTCAACTGGTGTATTGTACTTTAAAAAAAAGCATGTAAATGCAAACATTCTACTGAAATTTGTGTATGCCTTTTGATGTATATAAGGGACTATACCCATTGCCATCATGTAAAAGTTGCTCCTGAGCACCTTTAAGGAAAAGATTCACTGGCCCTTAAAAATCAACGTGTGATTGTTAAACTGATTCATAATCTAGTAGAATAATCTGCAACCCGCAGGATAGTTGTTTCTGCTTACACACTTTGCTGTCTTTAATTTCTTATTGAAGATTTAAAGTAATTCTAAACACGGGCTTGAGGCCAAAAGTAAAATGCAGTAGGAAAAAAGATTAAGGCTGTATATACAAAGAAAAATTTGCAAGAAATTGAAAATTTTTCTTATTACTGCTACTGGTTTCTTGGTGTGCCTATGAAATACTGCTTTTACTTTGAGTTTGGAAATTCCTTTGAAAATGGTATTTATGGTTTAGTAAAAAGTAGTTTCCAAAGAAAAAGTTCTGAAAACTAGTGAACTCAGTACAGTTGTTTAAAATCTTAGTGGTTTTAGTCACATGTGTGAGAGATGTACTTAACCCTAAAGAATACCCGGAAGTGGTTGGGAAATTAGGATATGGAAGCATTTTTAGACCATTTATCAGTCTTAGCGACCTGGAACAGGGCAGAAAATGAGCAATTGTACAGAGAAAGTCTTTGGGCAGCACACATACTTGGCTCAAGTATCCCTTAGACCGAGACTATGCACAGGCCGTTACGTGGGCACTAAATCGCAGAACGACTTGCCGAGGGTTGACAAGGAAAGGACAATTGGAAGCACCCCCACAAAAGAAAATGGAAACCTACAATAACATAGGAACACAAAATGGATTCAGGGAAGCACTATACTGTGAGTGCTGCATTTCACAGTGAGCTGTTTGCGATGCTTTGTTTAATTAAGAAAAAACTCCACAGTAAGTTCTGGAAAGATTTTTAGACCAAGCCTAGTTTTAAGGGGGTAAATTCCCATATTCTGTCTTAATTGCTTATGTTAGAACACTTCATTTCCTAATAACATTTATATTAAGCTGTTACTATGTGTACTTTAAAATGTATAATCTCTGCTCGAGATGATTTTAGTTTCAGTTTAGGTACTAAACACCTTATGTATGATTTTCTTATCCAGTTCTTTGTTCTATTCTTAATCTATTTAATGGTATTAGGTATAGATTTGCACCTAAAAGTATTGACAGTGTTGACAATCGAGATTTTCATGCATGGTACTTTGCCACTAAAAGAAACATTCAAAATGTTCAGAACACGAGTTACTCCTTTTTTTGTGGAATTGTGGAAGGGAGGGAAAGTCTTCAAACAATTTCAGTTCCTTGGAAAATTATTTACAGCAAAAATCAGCATAAGTCTCTTTTCCTCTCTAGATAGGTAGGTAAATAGATGGCCTTAGTGGAGATCATACAGTTTGGATCTAGAGGTCAGTACATCGCTGGGTAACTTGGTAAGCTGTGTTACTGGTAGAGGTGGAAAAGTTGTGCAGGATGAAATTACTTAGTATCCAGTGTATTTTTTGAGTCTGTATTTGAAAACATGCAGGAAAAAGTATCACATTTAGCTTATACTATATATACTATACAGATAATTAACTAGTTATTTTTATTTGCAGCTTTGAAATTTATTCTCTATATTGACAATTTCAAGCTTATGTAAGAAAAGTAGTGGCTTAAGAGACTTGCTCATTCAGACCCCTGGAAAGGTATTTATGAGCTTGAAAGCTTAGAAACAATTTCTTTTTAATGACTCACTGGGAAAATTAAACTTTGCTTCTAGGACTTTCATCTGAAAAACATTTACATACAAAATTGATTAAACATTGCTTTGAGATGATAAAGCTTATCGAAGGTTAAGAAGTATAATTTGATTAAGCAAACATTTTGACTGATCTTGTGGAGAATCCAGAGAATCTTTTTCTTCCCTTCTGTTTTTTTTCTCCCAAGTGGGAG